TTTTAGCTTAGCTGTTTTCTCCTTCTCTCTGTATTTACTTTCCGAGACCTTATGGATCTGTTATTTGTTATTAATTCTGATTTTGTTGAACTAAACATGAGCTAAATTCCTTAGCTAGGATTATTGATGGAACCAAAGTTGCAATGAAGATCTATTTGCTATTTTGATTGATAATGTAATTTTCATCTGGTTTATTCAAGCGTATTTATTGTTTACTTTCTATTAAGTGACAGGTCATCATTTAGTAAGAAAACACAAACTTAAGCTAATTCTGGAAAGGTTGGTTGAGTTAGATCTAGCTTGGATAATGTAAGAGATAGTATATGAATATACTATTATCTTGTACAACCCATTAAAATTGATGTTAACGTCAGATTTGTAAACTAAAACACATAGGAATATGTTGGTTTAGTTTAAGGAATTATAAGCATAAATCTGTCGGAAGATGATTATGTAGAATTTTAGGTTGACTAGATGAACTTTGCTACAGCAATCGTATAGCAAATCGTGGTCAGAGTTGCAACCGAGGGGAAATCAGTAATCCTAGCCTTCATCCATCATTAAATCACAGCTCTAAGCTCAGATCTTGTTGACTTTTGCCTCTTGTCTGCATTTAAATTACAGTCTTTGGTCTTATACATTCTTTTCACTTAATTAATATCAATTTGGCATTCAAACTATTCTCAATCATATTGATAAAACTGGTTTTTGTAATAGAATTCCTCATTAACTCAGTCCCTGTGGAGACGATACTTTACTCATTACTATATTACTTGTTCGATTGCGTGCGCTTGCGTGGAGTCATTTTATGCATAGAGTTTTTGGCGAACAATAAGAGACATTATTAAAATTTGGGTTAATCTCACAAATAGTTTGTGAGGTTTATCTTTTAATCTCACTTTAGTTTTTAACTTTTAAAACGTCACATAATTGGTCCCTGAGGTTTTGTTTTGTTTCTGTTTATGTCCTTTCGTCAGTTAGGTGTTGTTAAATATTTGACAAAATATGTAGAAATTAAATACCAAAATTAGAAACATCTAATGTTTAAGGACTAAAATAATACAAAAAATAAGAGTTAACTTCTATAGATAATCTCTAAATTTTAACCGTTTTTAATTTTGTCCCTTATTTATATAAATACCGTTAAATATTTAATATTCAGTTAACGGAAGGATTGGAACTGAAAAAAAAGTAAAACTTCAAAAGATTAATTCTAAGACTTTTAAAGAATAAAAAATTAAAGTAAAATTAAAGATAAATTTTAAAGGCTATCCGTGAAATTAACTCTTAAAATTTGGAGGCATGACAAAGACAAACAGCGCAATATATGACAATCCCAACACGATGTTTGCCAAAAACCTTCTTTTTCATGCCTTTTTATTGCCTGCTTATAAATTGGCTACTGTTTTCTCCCTTTTTTCATGGACTCTTTTTACTTCTTTTCAGGGAAAAGAGAGAGTAAATGTATAATATTCCACCATGATGGAGACGTGAAACTCAATGCCTAGAATGATTGCTAAGTACCTTTCTTTTCTTTTCCACTAACCTCCTATAATGCTACTACTCTATTATTTTGTTCTTATTTTGCTTTCATTTTGGATGTATATTCTTTTATGTCCCTTATTTCTCCATTGTAATCTGCATTTTCCGACATAATTGGTTAAGAAAAGATTGGATCATTATTATACTTTGATATTTATTTATAAAGTTACAATATAAAGCATTTTTCTATTTGAGACGGTAATATATATATTAAATCAACTTCAAATAAACTCAATCAGTTGAAACTAGCTAGCTCTTATTATTAATTGGTCTAATTATTAACCTGCTTTTGTCTTCTTCTTTTTTTTTTTTTTTTTGACGTAAAAAAGCTTTGCCTCATTACTAATACATTGTATATATTAATGTATTATACTCCTCATTATTATTTCGTATTTACTACTATGTTTGGATAATAAAGTTTTAATACTAAACTACAATTTTGTGATTATTTTTTTTCTGAAGGTTTATATAACATAATTAGACACTCATAAAACTACTTATATATTGTACGGTCTAAACAATGGAATTTCTTTAAATAAATTTCTTTCCAAGAATGCATGCCATGGAATTTTTTGCATAATTTATATTCATCATTAAATGTATAAGGAAATATAATATGTTGACTATATATACAAGTCCGATCTATGTATGAAGTGATCATCCTAAAAAGTAAAAAGCTAAAGCTGACAGAGGTGGGTAACATTAGTAGTACTATTTAATTAATTAATAGACGATAACAAAAGCTAATTACTACGCAAATAAAGAAGTGTTTCGGATAATCTTTTTCGAATTTCAATGACCAAATTAATCCAATACAGGTTGTCTGTTAAGCTCAACTAAAAACCAAGCTTAGCATATTACTTTATGATCTGCCACGTACAAATTCTTCTCCTCTATCTCAAAGAAATCCCTCAAAATTAACAACTAGAACCTACAAAATTAAAGAAGCAAATTATCAATTAATTAACTACATCAACAAGGAGATAATATATTAATATTACAATTAATTTATATTCTAGTCTAGTTCATAATTATGGTCCGTCTTCTCTGGATGCAATCTCTTCCTTCCACTTAAAGAAACCCCAAAAAGCTTAACGCCACCATTTTTCTCCTCACTAATCTCACGACTATTACCCGAGCCACAAATTTCAGAAATGGCCATGGTTTTAACCTCGGAAACAGCTGGAACCGGAGACGAAGAACCGAGCCCTACAAGCTTCGGAATACTACTAGAATTGACGGTAGAGATTGGACTCAATGTGGAGGGCATAACTGGCTTTACATGGTTTTGGATGAAGTAAATGATGTCGTTGTAGAGGCTCTTCATGTGTGTGAGTTCCGATAAGAGCAAAAAGTTTTTTCTCCTAAGCCTTTGGTTATCTTCGGTGAGAGATGTTAGAATATTATGATCATCACTAGTGCAAGTTTTCGGAGACGGCGCCAGAGAAGAAGTTTCTAGAATGTTAATGTTGTTCCAGCCAAAATTAGTACTAGTTTTGTGATGATCATGATCTAGGGCTTGGAAGAAATGGGAATTCATGAGTAGGTGATCATGATGGTGATGATGGTAGTTTTGAGGTTGTTGATGTTGTTGTGAAGTTTTTCTTCTGTGGATTTCGGATAGCAAGTGCTTTGCTCCTTTTCTGAAGTACTCGTTTGAAAACTCCCATCTATCCGCAACTATCTTTTTGAAACCCTGAAATAATAATGATAATTATTGTTGTAAATTGTAATTATATAATTAATGACATTTTACAACATATCATGAGTAAATTAAGGAAATTAAGAATGATGTTTAGTTTCTAAAGTTGTATATATGGAACTGAGTATGTTTCATTTGAATGGTAGTTGAGACGGCTGTCATGATGGTTTTAGGGTCTTACGCAAATAATTAATGTTTTTGGGAGAGAGGGGGGAAAAGCGAAAAAGAAAAAGTAAAGAAACCAATTTAGAAAAAGTAACTTTACTTTTTCAGTTTACACTTTTTAAAAGACGGCATAAACCTCAAGCAAAATTCTAAATGCTAACATCTAAACGAATGAAAAACAAAGTTCACGTTCATTGTAAATATGTAGCTTTTCAACACTCCAGATATATATATATATATATATATTATATAATATTGGTGAATAGTGTGTACCTCTATAGCACATAAAAACATAGAAACAAGTAAATCACTATATATATATATATAGCACATAAAAACATAGAAACATGTAAATTACTATATATATATATATATTTGTATCTGCCAATTGTACTAATATAGAACGAGCATTTTTTTCTCCAAAAAAGTATATATCTACATATAACTAGCATTTTACATGTACTATACGTGTAATACTGCGCTCATGTTAATTATTACAGGGGGAAGAAAAGAATATTGTCAAATAATTAGAAAAGAATCAGAAACATCAAGACAACATGAGAGACAGAGAGAGAGAGAGAGAGAGAGATTATTTCAGATAGATTTGGATTAAATTAGACACCAAAACGACGTTAAACAACAAAACGACAAAATTAAAATGAGATCTAGAATCTTTTGTGGGAATATCGGAGAGAGGATTAATTAATCGATATTTAAACTGTTTAGTAACACAATAAATAAATGAAGGGTAAAGACTATCTATAGCAATTTACAACATATACGTTACTCTCAATACAAGTTTATATACAACATAATTAGATTCCAATATACAAAATCATTTCTCACTAATCTATCTAGATCAGAGATCAGTCTAGACGAAACAAGGACCCGTCATAAGCTCTAAACAAAGAGAAGAGAATAATAATGTAAAGCAATTAAAATTGTTACTGATACTCTTGAGAAGTAATTACAACTACACTGAGCAATTATAATGAAAGTCAATTTCAGTCAACCTAAGAGTTCTAGAAAATCCCATCAAACGGCTAAACCAAAAGAAAGCCGCAATTTAATCATCCACGTTAGTTTGCTGAAAAAAAAAAAAGAAATAAGAAAAATTAAGAATAACCCATATTTTAATTTGCCTAGCAATTATCACCAAAAAAAAAAAAAAAAAAAAAAATCTGCGTTCAAATATTTTATGATCGAAAATATTTGGTCTGAGAAGGTAGCCTTTTGCGACCAAATTTTAGGTCGGAAAATCATTATAGCAAGGTCATGAAGTGATCAAAATTTAGTCCGTCTATCCAATTAATTATCAAGGCAACCCCTCCAATCAAAATCTTGCCCGTCCTGATTATTTGTTTCAACCCTCATAAGATTAATGACCTTAAAATGATTAAAGTTAAGAACATCAACACATTTTGTGAAACTCATGATTTTGCCAAGAATTGAGATGAACGATCTTAAGGGGAAAAAAAAAAAAAGCCTTCATAAACAAATGTGGAAATAAATGCATATACTTTTCCATAATTGTGTGTGTGTGTGTGTGTGTGTATATATATATATATAGAGAGAGAGAGAGAGAGAGAGAGAGAGAGAGAGAGAGAGAGAGAGAGGGAGGTCTTACATAGGTGTTGAGCTGCCGAACAAAGCTGGAGAAATTGTTGTGTTTGAAGTAGTTAGGAAGAAGATCTCTGGCAAACTCAGGAGGCCTCCAAACAACAAAGGTGGTATGATCATCACCCCAAGACACAACGTGATCAGTGAGAGGATCATCAACCAGCTGATATGTCTTTGTCAAGAATGGTGCTGGAACCGCCTTTTGTGACTCCACTGTGAACACCATGTTCTCCCCACACCTCATACTCTCCACTCTGAAATCCATGAAGATAATAATATTAATATTATTGCAAGTATATGCTTCTATATATAGCTAGTACTATACATATAATATATATATATATATCTATATATATATATCTTCACTACTCTCGCCCTCTCTCTCTTTCTCTCTCGTTATTATTGATCTCCTACTTTTTGAAACAAAAACATATGACCGTGTCACTAAAATAAGATCAGTCTCTCTCTCTCTCTCTCTCTCTCTCTCTCTCTCTCTCCCTCCTCTCCTCTCTCACACACACACACACACATGTAATTTCTAACTTTAAGAAGCATATGATGACCATGTCAGAAAAAAAAATGTTCAATTTTCCTAGATTAATTACTATTATGAGATCCAATGCTTTTATGATTATTTTCGTCAGCGACCAAAAAAAAAAAAAAAAGAAGAAGAAGAAAAAGAACATGTATCTACAGATGAAGTCTTGATTGTTCTTTGGTATCAGTATGTCTAGAGGCTTAGATCATGAATACATTTTTCAGCGGGTTATTTTCTACTTTGTATTATGCATTTTGAGTTTGTTAAAAAAATAAATCCAAATTTTGGATGCACTCAAGATTGTACCCTTAAATTTCTATTTCATAATTTTATGGGCCAACAGTTGCATTTGACACTTCAATTGACAAGTTGAACCTATTGCAGATTATAGATGATCCTATAACCAGAAAAATTGAATCATATGCATGGGCAGTGTTTAAGAAAACAATGAAAAAAAAAATCATAAAAACTGTATTTTAAAACTAAGTTGCAAAAGAAATTGGTGTTTTATAATAAGTTTAATTAGTAAGCTAGAAAGAGTAAGTTTGACAATATTTCAAAGATCAGCAAATTGGATATGAAATTGAAATTCATGAGGTATATATTGTTATTTATTTATTCTTATATAGACTCAAGATGCAAGGTTAATCTCACAAATTATTTCATAGGATAAATAGTCTTTTTATAGCCTGGTAATTGAATCCTTTCATTAGTGGAAGGACACCCAGAGTGAGAGACTGTCCTTTTTTTTTTTTTTTTTAGTTCACTCCGAGCTCCACCACTCTCCGTTTTTCCATCTCTTCCTTCAACCAAACATAGTGTTAACGTTATAGGTTCAAGTCATATGATATAAGCTCTTGAGACAAGTTTTACTGGCTCAATGTCTGTAAGCTCATGGTGGGACTAAGGTGACGCATAATATGCTCTACATACACATTCATCAACGTAGGTTGTGATGTCCTTACACTCGCACCAAAAAAAAAAAAAAAAAAAAAATGGATCTTCTTTCTCACACATTTTTTTTGTTTTTTTGTTTTTGTTTACAACATAAAAAGAAAATTACAATCATGGGAGGGGTGCATTATTGGTAATGGACCCAACATCAGTGCGCTATCTGTACCTTTGAATTTTGCTTTTCTTTGCTCCATACACTGATCACATAGTAAGGGATGGCTTAGGGCTATAATTGGTATAGAATTGGTAGCCTATATATAGCCTGAAGGCTTTATATATGTTGACAGAATATATGTCGTGGCACTTGCACTGACTTGACATGTCATGGCTAGTCAGATGGACGCCAGTCATATATTATGATCGAAAAATTTTATTTGAGTACTCTTTATTATATCAAAATTTGACTTTTTTATATAGTCTTTGTTTTTAAAAATTTTATATCTCAATCTTCTAAAAAAATCTTTTTTAGTACTTTGAAACTATTTTTTGAGACATAAAAGATAAAATTATCCTCATTATAAAAATTTCTCTGTTGGCCATAATTTAAAAAAAAAAGATTTTAAAAATTATTATACATGTAACCAAACACCCAAAAACTCATTAAAGGAACATGCTTCTTTTTTAAAATCTTTTTTTTAAATTCTGGTCAATAAATAAATTGTTACAATAAAAGTAATTTTGTCCTTCATGTCTCAAAAATTAGCTCCGAGGTTAAATTCTGATCAATAAATAAATTATTACAATAAAAGTAATTTTGTCCTTCATGTCTCAAAAATTAGCTCCGAGGTACGAAATAAAGATTTTTTAAAAAGGTTGAGGTATAGGCATAAAATTTTAAAAAATAGAGGATATCAAACTCAAATTTCGACAGAGGGTACCAAAATAAAATTTTCCTTATTATGAAAATTAAATAACCAAAAATTAAATAAAAACACATATTAGTTGGTGCAGGGAAGATGACATAAAGTTGTACCTTTTTGGATGAAAACACATCTTAACAGAATCATGATATTGTTAATTTTCAAAATAAATCTCCGATATCTTATAACATTAATTAAGACTTTGAAAAACCACTTCTCCGTTGAAACAATTCACCTTATTCTGTCGTAATTTCAAATGAGTAAATAGTTTTCCTAAAACTTCAGAATCTTGTGACTCTTTTAACAATTTTCTTTAGCATAATTTTATAAGCAGCAGTAAATTATGATATGTGCTAGCTGATATATCGTGCTATAGAAAACTTTCATCGAACAGAAAAAAAAAAAAAAAAAAAAATTATTGTGCCGAGAATCAGAAGTATCTCTCAACATTTTGCATTTGTGAATTGAAAGGGTTATCCATTTGGGAAATAGTAGAAAATAGGCGAATATGAAAACCTTAAGAAAGTATATAGGTTAATTTTTAGGGATAGAAATTAATAGGCCATAACTTGTCAAGTTATGGTTCATAACCAGATAAGTTATGGACAAACTTGTCAAGTTATGATTCATAACCATACAAGTTATGGACAAAAACCGTGAATAACTTGTCAAGTTATGGTTAATAACCAGACAAGTTATGGACGAAAACAGTAATTTGGCCTATTTATTAACTTATGTAAACTATTGGCCTATTAATTTTAATTCATCTCAAATCTTGGCCTATTTCCCTCTTTCTCCCTATCCATTTTAATTACTCCTACTGTTAGTTTGTTGTCGGATTAACACATAAATCAAATGTTTTGCAAAGTCTACGGTCCTTCACAAGGCCACTCTTACACATCATGTAATATGTAGAAACTAAGGTATATATCAATGCAATTTATTATAATGCATAACAAGAAATTGATCATTAATTACATCTTTCTGTATTTATTGTTATACGCAATAAATGTCTTTTATACCTTAGTTGCTATATGTTACGAAGGACCATTTATATTGAAGATCAAGGAAATGACATTCCAATTAGGACATGACAATGTACTATTTCACGAAATTATTTGATTCCTAAGATGTTCCAAAAAAAAAAAAAAAAAAAGGGGGCAATAAGTAGAATTTTCTCCCTCTTCTTATCTTTATCTACGTTTTTTTTTTTTTTTTTTTTTTTTTTCAAAAAAGAAATAGTAAAGCCAACATGTTTGTATCTCTAAAGGCATGCATGTTTTTTTTCGTTTTTTTTTTTTTTTTTTTTTTTTTGTCAAAAGGAAAATGGTAAGCACATGACATGAGAGATCCCACGTTGTGGATTTCCCTTACTTTAAATATGCCGGTAGGAACATTCCTAACCCTTATTCATATATTTTCCATATTTCGTGCATAACAAGGCACACCCGTGACAATAAAGAAAGTGGTAGAAAGTATTTTCTTAATGGAAGATCCTCCGCTGAAAAAGCTTCTTTCTCAGAGAAGAAAGAAAAATATTTTTCTGAAACTCCTATTCCACATGAGCAATTGGCCAAAAGAAACATTTATGGATCGAAATGTTCAAACCTTCTTTCCATCGATGTTGAGAGAAGATAATTTTTTTTTAATTAAATGATAAATAATAATAATGGTCTATTTTTGCATGCACAGTTCCTCAAGATTCCTCTGTGGGCAGGGGGACCACATTTTTCTCCAAGACAAGCAGATGGTGATGACGCATTTTCAAGAATACACTTTCTACATAAACCCAATATTCTTTATCATTTTTATTTTTCTTTTCTTTTTTTCTCTTTTCTTTTTTGATATATTTGTATTAATTAGGGTTAGGTGTACTGAAGGCGGGCCTTGACACCGTGGTGGGAGCTAGGTGTACGGGAGTCTCTTTGGTATTGGGGTTCGCTTTTTTTTTTTAGGGCTAGGTGTAGTGACCTTATATTTCATATTTTTTCGTAAGAATATTGTGAAATAGAGTTAAAGAAGTTAACTTTATTTCATAATATATTATATCTCCTTATAGATCTCTTTTTGTTGGGAATGGAGTGGGATTGGGACTCTCAACATTGACCTAATACGAATTTTCTTTTTGTTAATAAATATTATTCTATATATATAGACATACGCACGCTTCCAGATAGGATGATTTTGAATGTTTTTCTTGACAAAGATGTGTTTCACATTATCGCCTACACTCATCTTTTCATGAAAATATTTTCACTCTTTCGGATTTTTTTTTCAAGCCATCGTAGAATTTGCAGTAATAATGATCTACAACTTCTTATGGTATGATCATTGTTAGGTAATCTACTTAGAATTTCAAAAGAAAAAAATCAACACTTCCGGAGTTCTAATTTCTGAAGAATATTGTACAATGCTAATTAAGATATATATGTACAAAATATTCGCTAACTTCACTCATCTTTGTGAATATATGTAACATGATATAACAATGACTAAAAAGTATAATAACAACAAATTACTTATCATAGGTTTGATTATGACAAAATAAATATCATGTTGCCTCGTTCTTTATATTTAGAGTGCAGCATTGGATATTGTGAAAGATTAAAAGTAGTACCATAACTATTCATAGTGAATGGGACATGCATATACCAGACTCAACTTTTGAAACTTTAATTTTTACATTTTTTTTTTAATTCCGTTGTGCTTTGTATTATGAGAAAAATTCCCATTGGTTTTTAAATACACATCTTTATTAATTTGATAAAAATTATCTCTTATAATGTTTATAGTAACAAAATATTCACGCTCTGCCATTGACGGAAAAGCTGCAGCCACACAGTAACAACTTCTTTTATATTGGGATTTGCTGATCATGTTCACATGCCATGCATCTATATTTGTGCTAGTACAAGACAAAGGTCTCTC